CTCCAGCGCGGCCCCACCGGTGACACCTCTTGTATTCCAAAGACCAAGAGCAACCTGCCTGGCGTCCCGGGGGCTTCCCTGGACTGTCCCTTCTCTCCCGTGCCCTTTCACGCTTGTTTGAAGAATTACAAGATTGTGGCCGGCGGCGGTGGCTCACGCCTGCGATCCCAGCACTTCTGGGAGCGCGAGGCGGGCGGATTGATCGGAGGTCAGGAGTTTGAAACACAGCCTGAGCAAGAGCGAGACCCGTCTCGTACTAAAAATAGAAGGAAATTAATTGGCCAACTAAAATATATAGAAAAAATTAGCGCGGGCATGGTGGCGCATGCTGTAGTCCCAGCTACTCGAGGGCAAGGGCTGAGGGACAGGAGGTAGGAGGATCACTTGAGCCCAGGAGTTTGAGGTTGCTGTGAGCTAGGCTGATGCCACGGCACTCTAGCCGGGGCAATAGAATGAGACTGTCTCAAAAGAAAAAGAAAATACAGATTTTATTATATTATTCAGATCCAGTGAGGCCAACGGATCAGGAGACGAATGCCATTGCAAAGAGTTTGTTGTCCTGTGGATCCCAAGAGAGGGGACACACGCCTCACAGGGCCGCCCGGGGAAACACTGGGGCTGGTTGGGAGGAGAGGGGCAAACATGGGCGAAGGCCTCGCCGCGAGGCAGGGCGAGCAGGCTTAGGACCGGCCAGTCTAGGTCATGCGGTAGCCCCTGGGGCACAGGGCTGTCCCCCGCTGCCTGGCGCCTGGCCCAGAGGTGACGAGGGCAGGCGGACAGTGGCCTGGAGGTGCAAGAGCCCAACTGTTGGCCGCCTCCAAGAACTGGCCGGCGAGGGCAGGGGCTGTCCCTCCAGCGTCAGCAAGCGCCCGGGTTTCGAAGCATCCGAACACAGGAAATAAGACGCGTGGCTGATGCACCCACCAAAGAGGAAGGCACCCCAGTCCCAGGTTCCAGGGCGAAGGGAGCGACCTCGGGCAGTGAGGCCCCCCCCACTGCCCCAAATGCCAGCAGTGCCGGGGCCAAGAGCCCCGCCTTAGTGTTTTAATTTTTTTTTCTCAAGTTCTTTTACGTGTACTTTATCCTCATGGTGATATGGGTAGAAGGAAGGGAGTTGGATTTTCTTTTAAGAAGCACAGGCCGGGCGCGGTGGCTCACGCCTGTCATCCCAGCTCTCTGGGAGGCCGAGGTGGGCAGATTGCTCAAGGTCAGGAGTTGGAAACCAGCTTGCACAAGAGCGAGACCCTGTCTCTACTATAAACAGAAAGAAATTAATTGACTAAAAATATGTAGAAAATATAATAAAATATATAGAAATATATAGAGAAATATATAGAAAAAATTATATATATTTATATATAATTAAAATAAAAATATAAATATAACTAAGAATATATAGAAAATAAAAATATATAGAAAATAGAAATATATAGAAATATAAATATACACTAAAAATATATAGAAAACTAAAAATATAAAAATAAATAGAAACTAAAAATATATAGAAAATATAAATATATAGAGAAAAATACATAGAACAAAATTAGCTGGGCATGGTGGCACATGCCTGTATTCCCAGCTACTCGGGAGGCTGAGGCAGGAGGATTGCTTGAGCCCAGGAGTTTGAGGTTGCTGTGAGCTAGGCTGACGCCACGGCACTCACTCTAGCCTGGGCAGCAAATCGAGACTCTGTCTCAAAAAAAAAAAAAAAGCGTTGGCGGCATAGTGGTGAACATAGCTACCGTCCAAGAAGCATGTACGTGCTGTTCGAACATCCCGTCGGTTCTTTCAGTATGTGTGAGCGAAACTTCTATCTGCCAACACCTCATCGTTTTTACCGAGGTTTTCTTGGGCCCCCAGCCCAGTCCCTTCCCCAGGCACAGCAGTCTAACTGTGCCGGCAGATTATTTTGCACCCCCACCCCCCAAGGAGAAGCCCTCGCGGTGGATAAACACCCCAGCTGCCCCGCCCGCAGGTGCCATGGCCCCCAGAGCTGCCTGGCGGGCGGGAGCCCCGGTTCCCCGCAGCGTGCCCTCTGTTTTCCGCCGTCCCTTCCCTGTGTCACTTCTCCTCGCCCTCCTTCTCCTCCTTCACACCTGAGATCCCCCCTCCCAAACAAGCCACATGCACTTGAAGCTTTATTCCGGGGGCCCGACTCAGGGGGACCCCCAGACGTGGCCCCGTGCTCCCATTTGTGCTTTCTCCGTAGTCGCTGGTTTAATACTCACCGTGCCCACCTGCAGAACGTAGGTTAAATATCAAAATCCTGGCTTTGGTCTGCTCAGGCTGTCAGAACAAAATACCGTGGACTAGAACCAGGCGCGGTGGCGCACGTCTGTCGTCCCAGCAACTCGGGAGGCCGAGGCAGGAGGATCCCTTGAGCCCAGGAGCTCGAGGCTGCAGTGAGCTATGGTCTCGCCACTGTGCTCCAGCCTGGGTGACAGAGCAAGACCCTGTCTCAACATAAAATATAAAATAAAATAAAAATTAGGTGTTTAATAAATAATGTCACAGAGTGGGTGGTTTAGACAACAGGCGCTTATTTATCAAAGTTCTGGAGGCTGCAAGCCCCAGATCACGGTGGCAGCGGGCTGGTTCCCGGTGAGGGCTGGCTTCCCCCCTGCTTGCAGACGGCCACCTTCTTACCTGGCCTCACCTGGTGGGGACACAGCCCTGGTGTCCCTTCCCCTTATTAACACAGCAAAGAGGACAGGGTCGCAGGAAGGTCTGTGACTGCACCCCGCCCCCGCCAGGGTCACATTTTCCTAAAAGCCAGGCTGAGAGTCGGCCGCGTGGCAGGGTGGGCCCTTCCCGCCCTGCAGACCCGGGGCAGGGTTGCCCGCGACCTCCCGGGCTGGGAAGACTCGGCAGGGCCCGGGGCTGAGGGGGGCGGCTGTGTGCTTCGCTCCTCCCTTTCAGATCCTGACGGGCGAGGACTGGAACGAGGTCATGTACGACGGGATCAAGTCGCAGGGCGGCGTGCAGGGCGGCATGGTGTTCTCCATCTACTTCATCGTGCTCACGCTCTTCGGGAACTGTATCCTTCGCGGGGTGGGGGCATGCGAGCAGACCTGGCCGCTGGCGGGGTGGGGGGGCATGCGAGCAGACCTGGCCGCTGGCGGGGTGGGGGGCATGCGAGCAGACCTGGCCGCTGGCGGGGGGGGGGGCATGCGAGCAGACCTGGCCGCTGGCGGGGGGGGGGGCATGCGAGCAGACCTGGCCGCTGGCGGGGGGGGGCACAGAAGACCCCGACGCCCAGGGCCCCTCCAGTGGCTGCTTTCCCTGACTCGGGCGTCCGAAGACACCCTCCTGAACGTGTTCTTGGCCATCGCCGTGGACAACTTGGCCAACGCGCAGGAGCTCACCAAGGTGGAGCGCCGGGAGGACGTTTCCCTGGCAGAGTCGCCACCCCCGCGTGTGGCAGACGGGCACGGCGTGGGGGTGGGGCACGGGAACAGGGTCAGAGCTGAGGCCCCAGTTGCGGCCGTGCGGGGGGGGGGGCTGTCCACCCGGCCCTCCCGGATCAAGCCGGTCTCAAGGCGGGGTGGGTGGGGGCGGGGAGCAAGGTCGCTGCAGGAAACGGCAAACTCCACGGAAGGGCCGTGTATGGGGAGCAGACGGGGCCCCCCAGGGATGGCGTGGCAGCCCCAGGCAGGTGGGTGCCGGGGCCACCCCAGGCCTGCAAGGGCGTGGCGGCGAGTGACGGCATGGGGAACCCAGCCAGAGCTGGTGGCCCTGTGGCCTTAGGGGGCCCAGAACCCTGGCAAGGCCCAGATGGAGCGGCCAACGAATGCCCGCGCCCGCCCTCTCCCGCCGGCTGAAGCCAGCTTCTTAGGAGCAAGCCGCAGTCGGACCCACGCCTGTCCCCAGGGGCCCTGCTAATTAGGAGACCGTGTAGCATGCCTGGGGTCTTCCTGCCAGCCCCGGGGTCCCCCCCACCCCCCAGCTTCCCGGCCCCGGCCCCAGCGCCTTGAGGAGCTTGGGACACGTCCCCGCACAGAGCAGAACTGAGCAGATGCTGCCAACCGTCCATCTGCCGGCCCGGCAGGGGGAGAGAGACTTTCCCAGTCCCCGCTCCGGCTGTGGGGGCAGCGGGAGTCTCCGCCATCCCCAGCCCACGGCCACAAGCCCGGCCACCCGCGGAGCCGGCGGTCACGGCTCATCCAGCCGTGAGCCCATCCAAGTCCCAAGAGCCCGTCCCCGGGGGCCGGGGCAGGTGACAGGGGACTCTGGGGAGTGTAGGAGGAGGGGACGGAGAAAGGCCAGCTCATCTCTGTCCTGGGAGGTGTGGACCCGCATTCCTGCCTTCCTGGGCATTTACGACGTGACAGGCCCCCGTCCCCCGTGCTGTGTTTTTTAATGTCACTTAATCCTCATGGAAACCCCAGGAGGCGAGTTCCCTGAGCCCCATTTTACAGATTTCACCATTCAGCAAGCATTTATTGAGCACCTACTATGACCAAGACCGTGATCTTAGGAGTCAGGGACACAGCAGGGAACAAAAAATGAGACAAAAACTGCTGTCCTCCTGGAACAGGGATTCCAGTTGGGAAGACAGACAAGAACTAAGATCAATTTGTAAAAATGCGTAGCTTCTCCGATGGTGACAAGGGCTAAAGAGAGCAAAAGTGTAGTAGGGAAAAGTAGGGGAGAGCTGGAGTTTTAGCTGAGGAGTGTGCCGCACGCACAGAGAGGGTAAGAGGCTTGCCCAAGGTCACACAGCAGTGAGGTGGAGGAGCTGGGATTTGGAGCCGGGCCATCTGGGCTTGGAGCTTGTGCTCTGAACCACCGCGCGCTGGTTGCTTAAACTCGAGTGTGCCGAAAATGCAGGTTCCAGGGCCTGCCCCTGGTTCAGGGGCCTGAGGACCTGCACTTTCAGTGTTGCTGAGCAGTTGGTCCAGGAACTTGGCTCTGATAAACGCTGGGCATGGTGCCGGGCGGGAGGGAAGGCCCGGGGGAGCAGGATGGCCTGCCGGGTCCCCCTCCACGCTGTCACCGACAGCGTCCCGAGCTGGCCATTTCTGAGGTGGCGCGGTTGCCACTCGCCCCAGAGCCTCCGAGCAGAGGGCCAGAGCCACCCGGCCACGCGACTTTCCTTCCGGCCCCGGTTCCTTTCTGGCTGTTTCTTTCTCGTTTTTTTTTTTGCTTTTTCTTTGTTGGCGTTTCTGTTTTGCGCGTGGGGCCCCTTGGGAAGGCGGGAGAAGGATCTAGAGTCCAAAGACGTATTTTTCTGTCTGTGTGTTTAAGACGCCTCCCCTCTCTGAGCCTGACCACCAGCTCGGGGCAGCTGGCTGTGGCCCGGATGTCCTGCTGTCCCTTCCCGCAGCCTTCCTGTCGTGGGGGCTGGGACAGCAGCTCCCTCCCGATCGCCCTGCTGGGCTGTTGGCAGCCTGGGCCGGGCCGCCAGGCTTCCCCGCGCTCGAGGCCAGGCGGCGGATTTGAGAGTTGGCTCAGAGAGCTCCCGTGGCTCAGAAACGGTAGCGGGGAGCAAGCCCTCACCTGGCGTCTCCGTCCACCGAGACAGGGCGCGGGAAAGCCTCTTCGCCTGTGTGCTTTCTTCCGCTCTGTGTTCAGATGGGGCCCACAACGGGCCGGGCGGCCGGGCGCGGTGGCTCACGCCTGTCATCCCAGCACTCTGGGAGGCCGAGGCAGGAGGATTGCTCGAGGTCAGGAGTTCCAAACCAGCCTGAGCAAGAGCGAGACCCTGTCTCTACTATAAATAGAAAGAAATTAATTGGCCAACTAATACATACAGAAAAAATGAGCCGGGCATGGTGGCTCATGCCTGTAGTCCCAGCTACTTGGGAGGCTGAGGCAGGAGGATTGCTTGAGCCCAGGAGTTTGAGGTTGCTGTGAGCGAGGCTGACGCCACGGCACTCACTCTAGCCTGGGCAACAAAGCGAGACTCTGTCTCAGAACAAAATAAAACAAAACAGCGGGCTGGGCACCAAGCCGTGCCTGGCGGGGGTAGCAGTACACTCCGCCGACGGCAGGTGCCGGTGTGGCCGGGGCCCCGGTTCTGATGGGCCAGCACTCAGGCCAGACGTGTTTTGAAATAATCCAGATGTCGCCCCTGCCCAGCAGTAGGGTCAGACCTGAGGCCCCGGGGCCTCGTTCCCGTTTCGTGAACAGGGGTCCCACGTGCCTTTCAGGATGAACAAGAAGAAGAGGAGGCAGCCAACCAGAAGCTCGCCCTGCAGAAGGCCAAGGAGGTGGCGGAAGTGAGTCCTCTGTCTGCGGCCAACATGTCCATAGCTGTGTAAGTGTCCCCAACCCCGGGCCGCGGCCCGGCTCCTCGGCCTCCGTCCTCCAAGTCACAGATGTGGGGAGATGGGGGGTCCCCGACAGGGTTGGGCTTTAGGAAGAGACACCTCTGTGCTCCCGCTCCGTTTCCCTCAGTAAGCATTTAGTTAGCACCTACTGTGTGCCCCCAGCACTGTTCTAATTGCTGAGGTTACAGCATTAAAGGGGGGAGAGAAAGAGAGACAATAAACAAGATAAGCAAGTTATAGATCGTGTTGGGGGAGAACTACAGAAAAAAAGAAAGCAGGGAAAGGGTGTAGAGAATGCTGGAAGGTGGAGAAAGTCATGATTTTATTATTTTTTATTTTTATTTTATTTTATATTTTTAGAGACAGTATCGCTGTGTCACCCCTGGGTACAATGCAGTGGCATCAGCCTCGCTCACAGCAACCTCAAACTCCTGGGCTGAAGCGATCCTCCTGCCTCAGCCTCCCGAGTAGCTGGGACTGCAGGCACCCACCAAGACGCCCCCGCTAATTTTCCTATTTTTAGTAGAGATTGGGGTCTCGCTCTTACTCTGGACGGTCCCGGACGCCCGACCTCAAGGGACCCTCCTGCTAGGATTACCGTGTTTCTCCGAAAATAAGACAGGGTCTTATATTTATTTTTCCTCAAAAAGATACCCTAGGGCTTATCTTCAGGGGATGTGTTATTTATTTTTTTAAGTACAATACAACGATCTACCTTTATTCAAATATAGTGAAGTCGTCTTCTTCTGGAACATCATCATAACTCTCCAGACCCCGAATCCCATCCTGAATTCCTTGCAACTCTTATTCCCTTTAGAACCATCGGCCCCAATCTCTCATGTGGAGCAGTAGAGCTCTCACGGGGCAGATGGGAAGGGCTGCTCGTCTTCTTTCCCGCTCTGCACGAAATGCACGGGTTATGCAGATGCGCTGCGCAGCCACGCCCAGCACTAGGGCTTATTTTCGGGGTGGGGCTTCTGTTGCGCAAATGCTTAGAAATCCTGCTAGGGCTTATTTTCGGGGAAACACGGTACAAGCATGAGCCGCCGCGCCCCCCCCCCCTCCACCCACCAGGAGTTGTGATTTTAAATAAAGTTATCAGGGAAGGCATCACCTGGAAGGTTACCCAGCCTAAGCAGGGGAAAGAGGAAGCACAGGGGGAGCGGAGGTTTGCAGGAAGAGCCTTCCAGGCAGAGGGAACAGCTTATGCAAAGGCCCCGAGGCAGGAATTCGCCTGGTATATTTAGGGAAGATGAAGGAGTCCATTGTGGCTGGAACAGAGGAGGAGCAGGGAGAGCAGGGGAGATGAAGGGGAAGGAGGTGGCGGGCAGATTATTCAAGGGCCATGGGGAGAACTTGGGTGTTTGCTCCTAGGCAAGTGGGAGCCATGGAGGGTCCCTGAGCAGAGGTGGGGTGGCAGCTGACTCAGATGCTGCTTCGGGAGCAGTCTGCGGAGGGCAGGAGCCCCCCGGAGATGCCCATCAGCCCGAGTGGCGCGTGCAGGCCACGGTGCCAACGCGGCTGTCCCCGCCCGGCAGGAAGGAGCTGCAGAAGAACCAGAAGCCGGCCAGGTCGGTGTGGGAGCAGCGGACCAGCGAGATGCGCAAGCAGAACCTGCTGGCCAGCCGCGAGGCGCTGCACAGCGAGATGGACCCGGACGAGCGCTGGAAGGCCACCTATGCGCGCCACCTGCGGCCGGACATGAAGACGCACCTGGACCGGCCGCTGGTGGTGGACCCGCAGGAGAACCGCAACAACAACACCAACAAGAGCCGCGCGGCCGAGCCGGCGGGGGAGCCGCGCGCGGGGGGCCCCGACGCGCTCCGGGGCGCAGGCGGCCCCGCGGCCCCGACGCGCGCCAGGCCCTGGCCGGGCGCCCGGACGCGGGGCTGGGCCGCGAGGGCCCTACGCCGCGAGTCGGAGCCGCCGGGCTTCTGGAGGCCGAGGCGGAGCGCGGCAAGGCGGCGCGAGCCGCACCGGCGCCACGCGCACCGCCCGGGCGCCGGCAGGGACAGCCGCGCGTGGTCCCCGCGCGCGGCGCCGACGGCGAGCCCGGCGGCACGCGCGCACCGCAGGCCCGGCGAGACGGCCCCGACGACAGGGCGGACGGGCCGGCACCGCGAGGCGCGGCCGGTGGGCGGCGAGGGGGCGACGGCCCCGACGGCGGCGAGCGCAGGCGGCGGCACCGGCACGGCGCGTACGACGCGGACGCGCGGAGGGACGACAAGGAGCGCAGGCACCGGCGGAGAAAGTAAGTGGACGCGACCCTGAACCCCAACGGTGACAGTAACGATGATGATAACAACAACCGCAGCAGCAGCAGGGGCCGGGGCGGTGGCGCACGCCTGTGATCCTAGCGCGCGGGGAGGCCCAGGCGGGAGGATCCCTTGAGCTCGGGAGTTGGAGACCAGCCTCCGCAAGAGACCCGGTCTCTACTAAAATAAAAAGAAAGTAGCTGGCTAACTAAAAAAAAAAAAAAAAAAAAAGAAAAAAAATAGCCAGGAGTGATGACGCATGCCTGTAGTCCCAGCTACTCGGGAGGCTGAGGCAGGAGGATCGCTTGAGCCCAGGACTTTGAGGCTGCTGTGAGCTGTGATGACACCGCGGCACTCCAGCCTGGGCAACAGAGCCCCTACATCATTAAATCATCAGGTCTCCACCTATTTCTACATCACCCCCCACAAAACCATTATTCTAGGTCCTTTTTCTTCTAGGTCCTTCTCCTATGGGTTCATTCATTCATTCAGTTAGTTTTTCCTAAGTACCTACTGTATACTGAGCCCACGCTGTGGATGTGACCAAGTAACCACAGGTGGAGTGGTCTGGGGCATTCTGAGAAATAAGCCCAAGAAACTGCTCCCAGCCTAGGGTCTCAGGGCAGGTTTTAAGAAAAGCAACCTGATGAGGGAAGAGAGTGTTTCAGTCTAAGAACAGCATGTGCAAAGGCCCTGAGGTGGACTGGAAGGAGGCCAGTTTGCAGGACATGGATAGTCCCAGCCACTTTTTAAAAAAATTTTTGGTAGACCTAGGGTCTTGCTATGTTGTCCAGGCTGGTCTCAAACTCCTGGCCTCAAGCAATGCTCCCGCCTCAGCCGCCCAAAGTGCTGGAGTTACAGGTGTTTGAGACCAGCCTGGGCAACATAGCAAGACCCATCTCCACAGAAATATTTTTAAAGCTGGGCATGGTGGTGAGCGCCTGTAGTCCCAGCTACCAGGAGGCTGAGGCAGGAGGATCGCTTGAGCCCAGGAGTTCAAGGCTGCAGCGAGCAATGATTGTGCCACTGCACTCCAGTCTGGGCAACAAAGCAAGATCATCCTGTCTCAAAAAAAAAAAAAAAAGCGTCAGCTATTACTATTATTTAATAAGACTTTTTCATCAATCAATGTTAAAAAAAAAAAACTTTAGATCCACAGCCTTAAGATTTTCCACTCCAATTCCTTCCTTTTGCAGAAGGGGAAACTGAGTCCCGAGGTTGGGGAGGATTTTCCTAAGGGCTGCTATTAGCAGGAGCATGAGGAGCCCCCAGCTTTCTGAAATCCCACAGATGGCCCCTGTGTCCCCTCCTCCCCAGAGGAGAAAATCCCTTCCCACTTCCCCCCCAGCGTGCTGGCTGGTCGGGCCACTGCCAGCTTCCCTATTAATAGACACATGGGCGCTCTGGCCAGAAGAGGCGTTATTCGTGTGGCTGATAAAACAGCTTCCAGTGCTTGCTGGAAATAAAACTACAGGAAGATTGAGGCACTTTAAGAGAAAAAAAAAAAAAAATCCAAGACAAGCCATTCATCCACTTAAAAAAAAATGGCAAAGATCAAACTTCACTCGAGAATGTAAAATAGTAAAAAGACATTTCTGTTCCCTATTAGGATGGGAGTCAGTGGCCCTGGAGGTCTGCCTTGCGCATTTTTTTTCCCTTCTTTGGTCATTCCTTGGCTCTTTCTGCAGACACACCCTACCTTTTTCATTCTCTAGGGTATCCATAATATATATATATATTTTTTTTTTATCCTATTTGTTCGCTTTTTTCTTCCCCCCACCAATTTCCACCTTCCTCTCTCTGGCTTTCGCTGCCTTACCCAGTGAAGCGTGCACGGAGGCGCGTTCAATTTCATTTAATTCCATCGTCGCTGGCCCAGATCCCTGCCCCAGGCAGCTGGGCCCAGGGCCACCCCAGGGGCACCAAAGTGAGGATGGAGCTTCCCCAGACACCCCTTAAAAATCCGCAAAGCCCAGAGCTTGTGCCCCTCCCCGGAAGCCAGGCGGCCCCTCCTGCGAGACCGGCTGGGCGCAGGGAAGGTTCTCCAACACCCGCCCTGCCCCAGGATCGCACCCCAGCTCCACCTGCACCTGCCCCCATGACAACTGCTCCCCAAAAGGAGCAGGAAGAGAGACGCTGGACCTCCCAGCCTCACGGTTTATGCTGCGTGGGGGGCAGGGAGAGCTTCATTCTTAAGCACTCGGATGTTCGTGGTACCCCTCCCCCCCGCAGTGGGGCCCTGGCGTCTCCCCGGCACCCACATTCCACACAACCCCGAGTTCTTCATCACCCCACTTTCCTCTTAAAGTCTCTAGGACCAGAGTCCAGCTCAGTTTTTTCCCGCCTGGGTAAGGCTGGGCAAGATGACTCTGTCTCTCTGAACCTCAGTCTCCTCCTCTGTAAAATGGGCGTGATCATAATGCCCACGTCCAGCGGCGGTGGTGGCGGGGATGGAATGAGCTCATACGTGAGGTCCTTAGGGCAGTGGAGGGCACAAGGAAGTGAGTGGGGGCTGCTGTTATCGTCACCCCCAAATAATCTGAGACTATCTTCTGGGTCTCGGGCGGGGTGAGCCCTGAGCAAGGTGCACCAGGCGTTCAGCAGAGGGGCCACTGAGGCGATCGGCTGGCAGAGGGTTGGCGTGCGGGACCAGGTGTCCGCACCCGCCTCCTGTCCCAGACAGGGGAGGGGAGGGGAGGGGAGGTGCAGCTTCAAAGTTCCCTTCCCCATCTGCATTTTCCCTGGAGACACTCTGGAAACAAAACCTCCCAGAGCCCAGGATCACTCAAGGTCAGGAGTTCGAAACCAGCCTGAGCAACAGCGAGACCCCGTCTCTACCATAAACAGAAAGAAATTAATTGGCCAACTAAAATATATAGAAAAAATTAGCCGGGCATGGTGGCGCATGCCTGTAGTCCCAGCTACTCGGGAGGCTGAGGCAAGAGGATTGCTTGAGTCCAGGAGTTGGAGGTTGCTGTGAGCTAGGCTGACGCCACGGCACTCACCCTAGCCTGGGCAACAAAGCGAGACTCTGTCTCAAAAAAGAAACAATAATAATGGGACAGGCATAGGATAGACATTCCCATCCCGAGAGGGGAAAAAATTGGATGGGATAAACAGGTCACCGGTTCTAAGCAAGTACTGAATCCAGCAAGACAATTCCATTAGGTTTCCAGGCCTGGGAATAATCCGCTGCGACTGTCAGCTCATTAACACAGCTAGTTTGTCACAGTGACTCAATGAGGTTACCACCCCCGTGCCACGGATAAAGGACCGAAGCTTCGAAACTCCCCGGGGCTCACGTAGCAAGTGAGCTCTGGGAGCATCACTTTAGTCTGCAGGATAAAAGGAAAGTTGTACTCCTGTTACCCCCAGTTTCAAAGTGAGGAAGTGGCTGGGCATGGAGGCTCCCACCTATAACCCCAGCACTTTAGGAAGCCAAGGCGGGAGGTTGCTGGAGGTCAGGAGTTCCAGACTAGCCTGGACAACACAGCAAGACACCATCTCTACAAAAAAAAAAAAAATTAAAAATGATCTAGGCATGGTGGTGCACACCTGTATGGTCCCAGCTACTCAGGAGGCTGAGGCAGGAGGATCCCTTGAGCCCAAGAGTTGGAGGCTGCAGTGAGCTATGATTGCACCGCTGCACTCCAGCCTGGGCAACAGAGCAAGACCCCATCCCTAAATAAAAAACAAAATCCATTTAATTTGTTTTTTAAATGAGGGAACTAAGGCTCAGAGAGGTTAATCAAACTGTACAAGGTCACACAGCCAGCAAGTGGCATAGCTGAGACTCGAACCCAGGTCAGTCTGTCCTCCAAAACGTCAATCCAGTGAGCCTCTCACCTAACTGAGAAGTGCGAAATTGGCTTGGATCTGCCGCTTTCCCTGTGCGGCCTCAGAGAAACAACGGAACTGCCTCGGTTTCTCTTTCCGGAAGGTATTAATAGAAGCATCCCACTTACCTACTTCAGGCTGAAAATAAATGAGCCCGTCTTTCTTCCGCTTACTAAAAACACCGTGGACTTTTGCAAGTTAAAATGCAAAAATAAGACGAGGGGGATGGGGCTGCTGGTTTAGCCAGCAGGAAGCCCTCCGGGGAAAGCCAGCCTCCTTTGGTTTTTATTGTTAAATAGCTGTGTGGGCTCCGGATTGGGCCTGGGGGGCCAGGCCTGTGCTGGCCGCGGACCCAGTCACCCTCAGCAGGTCCTGACTCCTGAGCGAGGCTCTGTCCATCCGGGGGTGTCCCTGCAGACGGGGGTGCCCGTGGCTTGGGGGAGGGAGGGGCTGTGGGGCTTCTCCTGGGGCCACAGTGTCCCCATCTGAGAAATGGCCGTGTCCGCTTATCACGTGACAATGTGACTGAACATTCGCCACGTGCCAGGCCCTGTACTCGGCACGCAAAGCTCAGATGTGAGCAGGGGAGACAAAAACAAACCCCTCGCCTCTTGGAGCTGACGTCCCAGTGGGCATTGAGGGAGAAAAGCACAGCGAGGACTTTTTCTTTTTTTGAGACAGGGTCTCGCTCTGTGGCCCAGGCTGGAGTGCCGTGGCGTCATCATAGCTCACGGCAGCCTCGAACTCCTGGGCTCAAGCGATCCTCCTGCCTCAGCCTCTGGAGTAGCTGGGACTGCAGGTGTGCACCACCATGCCCGGCTCATTTTTTTTTTTTACTTTTTTATTTTCTGTAGAGACACACGGTATCGCTTTGTTGCTCAGGCTGGTCTCAAACTCCTGGCCTCAAGTGGTCCTCCTGCCTCAGCCTCCCAAAGTCCTGGGATTACAGGCATGAGCCACCTCACCCAGCCCTTTAACATTTAGTGTTTTTTGCTGTTGTAACATTTTTCTTACCTCTTCCAAATGCTCTGAGCACTCAGACTCTCTGCTTGTCATCTCTGGCTGTGTAGTGTTAATTATTTGAGTAATCGAGGCACCAAGCTCCTCCCCACTTCATCTCCCCAACTCTCCACTTCCAGCCTCCCAGCTGCTCCTGAAACTCAACCCATTCGTCTCTGCCTCAGGGCCTTTGCACGTGCTATTTCCCCCTGCTTGGATTGTTTCTCCCCTGATCTTCCCACACCCAGCTCCCTGCTGTCATCCTGCTCTCTCCTTCCATTGTCACCCCTGGCAAGAGGTCTCCCCCGAGTATCTGAAGTGCCCAACCCCTCCCTCTTGTTCATCCTCCACACTTGTGTCCCAGTGACAAATTAGCTTGGTCCGTTACCAGCTCTGTAGCCTTAGGCAAGTGACTTAACCTCTCTGAGCCTCCATTTCCTCGTGTATAAGTTGGTGCTAGTCATTTGTTCCTCTTAGGGCTGAGGATTAAAAAATTATTACAAGTCAAGTGCTTCGAACAGCCCCGGGGGATCTTGGTGTTACCGAGATGTTTTCTGTTATTATTTCTATTGTTATTTCTTATCGTGGTTCTGTGTGTATGTGGCCTGCCTCCCCAGAGAAACGTACATATCCCAAGCATTTAAAGCCACCAGGTGGTCCCTCCACCCTGCTACTGCTTTCTCTGAAAGCCCACAAACGTTTGGAAACCTCATGTGACCCCATCCTGCCAGGAGCTAACGGGGGACACGTAGGCAAAGTCAGGAAGCCTTGAGTTGGGGCGGGGGTGGGGGGTGCAGGTTCTAGTAGAAATTTCTTTTCCCTTCTGATTTGTCTTCCCCTTTTGTCCCTGACGGAGTGCCCTCTTCCCCCCGGGGGGAAATATCCCTGCAGGCAGACCGGAACCCGGAGGGCGGGAAGGTACACCCACGTGGGGTTCCTGTCACCCGTGCGTTGGTAAAACTCTTGGGGTCCTGACTGATACAAGGGGATCGGGGGCCAGGCACCTGTCATCCCAGCACTCTGGGGAGGCCGAGGCGGGAGGATCGCTTGAGCTCAGGAGTTCGAGACCAGCCTGAGCAAGAGCGAGACCCCCGTCTCTACCAAAAATAGAAAAATTACCAAAATAACACCCAAAAAACTACCAAAAATAGAAACAAATTTAAATTGTAGCCTTTCTCATGAGTATGTGATGATTGGTACCTTGTTGTGATGTTAGTTTCTGTCCCCTGGTTACAAATGAGGGCAAACATGTTTTGATGTATTATTGGCTATCCAAGTTCCTCTTTTATAAGGCACCTCATCTTGCTCTATTTTTTATTGGGTTACTTTTTTAAAAAAAGTAGTCATTTGAGGCCAGGCGTGGTGGCTCACGCCTGTGATCCTAGCACTCTGAGAGGCTGAGGCAGGTGGATCATCTGAGCTCAGGAGTTCGAGACCAGCCTGAGCAAGAGCGAGACCCTGTCTCTACTATAAATAGAAAGAAATTAGCTGGACAGCTAAAAGTATATATAGAAAAATTAGCCGGGCATGGTGGCGCATGCCTGTAGTCCCAGCTACTCGGGAGGCTGAGGCAGGAGGATCGCTGGAGCCCAGGAGCTGGAGGCTGCTGTGAGCTATGATTGCACCATTGCACTCCAGCCTGGGCGACAGAGAGGGGACTGTGTCTCAAAAGCAAGGGGAAACAAAGAAAATGGTAAGGGTTCACGGAAACCTGTGAGTGAGCACGGAAAGGTGTTTGTATCCGTGCGAGAACGAAAGGAGCCCCTCTGGGCCTTGGGACGCGCCTTCTCTGCGACCACACGGCTCCCTCGGATGGTAGACTCTTAGGCGGGACCCACAAGTGTCGCCCCGTCACCCTGACTCAGTCGTGGGTTCTTTTGTCGTTGGCTCCCTTCCTCAGAGAGAACCAGGGCTCCGGGGTCCCCGTGTCGGGCCCCAACCTGTCCACCACCCGGCCGATCCAGCAGGACTTGGGCCGCCAGGAACCCCCGCCGCTGGCCGAGGACATTGACAACATGAAGAACAACAAGCTGGCCACCGCGGAGTCCGCCGGCCCCGGCCACGCCGGCCCGCCCCAGAGCCCGGCCAAGATGGGGAACAGCACGGCCCCCGGCCCCCCGCCGGCCCTGCCCGCCGCGGCCGCCAGCCGCCGGACCCCCAACAACCCGGGGAACCCGTCCAACCCCGGCCCCCCCAAGACCCCCGAGAACAGCCTTATTGTCACCAACCCCAGCAGCGCCCAGACCAACTCAGCTAAGACTGCCAGGAAGCCCGACCACACCGCGGTGGACATCCCCCCCGCCTGCCCGCCCCCCCTCAACCACACCGTCGTCCAAGGTGAGACCCCCCCCACCCCTGGGGCCGGGCTTCCCCCGCTCTGTCCCCTGAGGCTCCGCCCAGTGACCTTGGGCAGTGACCCCCATCTCCCTGGCCTCAGTGTTCCTCCCTGGAAAATGGGTGTAGACAGAGACCCTGCCCCGCGGGACCCTGGGAGGGGCGAGTGGAGGATAGGGACACGGTGCCTGGCGCACACGCGTGCTCCCAGGGCGGCGGCCACATTTCCCGGATCCTTCCTTCCCTTGGGGACGGGCACTGGTGGCCAGGAGCCGCCGTACTCGAGGCGCAGTGGCTTCCTCTGGTGGAGATCGATCGGTGGGTCAGGTGACGCTTTGGGGCCAGGGCTGTCACTGTCCAAAAGACACGTAGCACAGGCCACATGTGCGATTTTAAATTTTCTGTTAACAGTAACAGAAGGAAGGAGGGAGGAAGGGAGGAAAGAAGGAATTTAACAGTATAAAATTAGCCGGGCGTGGTGGCGCATGCCTGTAGCCCCAGCTACTCGGGAGGCTGAGGCAGGAGGATCGCTTGAGCCCTGGAGTTGGAGGCTGCTGTGATCTGTGATCTGTGATCGCACCACCCCACCCAGCCTGTGCGAAAGAGCAAGACTCTGTCTCAAAAAAATAACTATATATATATAAAAGAAACAGTCAAAATGAACTTTGATAACACATCGTAATCGCCCAAATGCCATACTTCCGGCATTTAATGAATACTTTAAAGACTTTCAACAAGACAGTTGATATTCTTTTTCTCACGCTGTCTTCAAACTCTGGCGTTTGGTTACGCCGACAACACGTCCCAATTTGGGTCGGCCGCGTTTCAAGCGCCCAGCGGCCAGGCGGGCCCACCGGCTGGGGGGTGGCGGGCGGGACGGCGCGGGCCGAGAGCCTCGAGGGCTGGCCGCTCCTGCGCCTGCAAGGTCAGGACCAGAGAAGCGCTAAGGAGTTGAAGTTGGACCGCTGGCCGGGCTGTCATTCCCTAGGCTGCTAGAAGCAGCCCGCTTCCTCTGGGGTCAGTTCTGCCCAAGAGAGTAACGTGGAGGCCGGGCGCGGTGGCTCACGCCTGTCATCCCAGCACTCTGGGAGGCCGAGGCGGGAGGATCGCTCAAGGTCAGGAGTTGAACCAGCCTGAGCAAGGAGCCGAGACCCGTCTCTACTAAAAATAGAAAGAAATAAGTTGGCCAACTAAATATATAGAGAAAAATCAGCCGGGCCATGGGGGCGCATGCTGTAGTCCCAGTACTCGGGAGGCTGAGGCAGGAGGATCGCTGAGCCAGGAGTTTGAGGTTGCTGTGGCGTAGGCTACGCCACGGCACTCACTCTAGCCTGGCAACAAGTGAGACTCTGTCTCAAAAAACAAATAAATAAATAACATGGGTTTGCCCCATACGTGCTTACCATGCCCCTAAGACATCGATCTTGTCACTGTGCCCATTTTACAGAAGAAGAAACTGAGGTTCAGAGAGCTCAGCCAGTCAGGAGAGGGGAGCCACTGGGGGCAAACCCTGCGGTTTGGGAGAGCTCAGTGTTTCCATCTGTAAAGTGGGTCTATTGGCATTTTCCCCTGCCCGCCTCCCAGTGACAGCATGAAAGTCAAACAGGACAGGGGCAGGTCCGTGACCACATCCCGAGAGGGCCCCACCAGACTCAAGGCTGGAGAGCAGTTGGGAGCAGGCCCTCTGGGGCCAGGCTGCCCGGGTTCGAATCCCGGCTCTGCCCGCTTGTGGCTCTCTGACCTTAAGAAAGACACGTCCCTTCACTCTTCTGTGGCCCCCAACTTCCTCCTCTGTGAGACGGGCAGGATGAACATACCAACCTCGCAGGGCCACGCGAGGGTTCAGTGACAGAGTGTGGCTCCTGGCACACAGTAGGCACTTAATAAGTGTCGGACGTTCGTTGCCCACCCCCCCTCCTCCGGGAGCGCGGCAGGAGCCCAGAGCCTTGTGGGAAGTGGCGGACCCTGTGCTGGTTCTTGTCCCAACAGTGAACAAAAACGCCAACCCAGACCCACTGCCAAAGAAAGAGGAAGAGAAGAAGGAGGAGGAGGAGGATGACCCCGGGGAGGACGGCCCTAAGCCCATGCCCCCCTACAGCTCCATGTTTATCCTGTCCACGACCAACCCGTGAGTATGGCCCGCGCAACGCGGTGGCGGAAGCCAGGCCGGGCAGAGAGGGCAGTGGGGGAGGGTCGCCTCCAAGACCTCCGTCGGCCCGCGGGGACCTCGGGACCAGCTGGAAAATGACCCTCCTTTCTTAAGTCACATAAGATGGAAACGTGTCATATAATGCACTCATTTTGTCAGAAGAGACCCCTTCTTGCCATCAGCTAGAAAAGTCTCTGCCATCAACGTCCAGACCTAGGCTGCCTGTGAAGTGAGAGGCTCCCTTTAGACATGGCGGCCTCGTGCAGTGCGCAACACGCACAACTGTACGCGGCAGCCATGGGCCCTGAGCTCTGCTCCCGACCTTCTGCTCTGCCAGGGTTTGGATTCTGGGCAGTTGGTCTCTGAGTTCCATGGCCCTTCTGTCTTGGGCAATCTTTAAGAAGGATAGATTGATTATCCAAGGGGAGAAATTTATCACGGGAATGTCAGGGTGGCTCAGGGGTTGTTTTGGGATTGCATTTTTCCAAAGGGTATATCTCGAAACCCTGATTCCTTAAAATGCTTCTTGACAAAGAAAAATCATGTCAAAAAAAAAGGTAGAAGGGACTCACCCAAGGGTGTAGACATTTACTTTTTTATTTAGTTGATTTTCTATTTTACTGAAGAAATACTCATGTGGCACTTAGTGGCAGCCACTGTTCTGAGTGCTTTAAATAGTTTTTAAAATTTTTATCATAATAGCCCTATGGGGTTGGTAATATGCTTATCCCCGTTTGCCAAACGAAGAAACTGAGGTCCAGAGAGGTGAAGCCACCTGCCCAAGGTCACACAGCAAGAGAATGGGAGAGCTGGAGTTTGAACCCAGTCGACCTGGCTCTAGCGTCCCTGTTCTTAACCACTCAACTCTGCTGCCATTCACACAACCCTATGACCTGTTTATTATTCGCTCCACTTAAGAGGTTAGATATTATCCCGTTGGCACATTAAAGGTTCTGACAAGGTGTGCAATTCGTAATTTCAGTAACTAACTTTTTGGAGCCCCTATCATGTGCCAGGAATATATTGGCTCTTGGAGTTCTCACAGCCCTGTTAGGTGAACAGTATTATTATAGCCATTGTACAGATGAGGGTGCTGAGGCACAGGGGGGTTAAATAACTTGCCCAAGGTCACATGGGTAACAAGAAAGAAAGAAAGAGAGAAAGAAAGGGAAAGAAGGAAGGGAGGGAGGGAGGGAGGGAAAGAAAAGAAAAGGAGAGGAGGAGGAGGAGGAAGAGGAAGGAAGAGGAAAGAAAAGGAAAGGAAAGGAAGAAAGACAGAAAGAGAAAGAAAAGAAAGAAAAATGGAAAGGAAAGGAAGAGGAAAGAAAAGAAAAGAAATAAAAAAGGAAAAGAAAGGAAGAAAGAAAAGAAAGAAAAATGGAAAGGAAAGATAAAGGGAGGAAGGAAGGAAAAGAAAAGAAAGAAACGAAAGGAAAGGAAAGGAAAAGAAAGAAAGAAAGGAGAGAGAGAGAAAGAGAGAGAGGGAGGGAGGGAGGGAGGGAGGGAGGGCGGGCAAGCAACACACTTGCTTACCCTGTGGATTCCCCGTTCTGTGGGACCCCAGGCACTTTAAGCGTGGGAACCTTTCTCTCTGCCGGGTCGGGCTGGGCCTGAGGGTGTCCTGAGGGGCTGCCGGGGCGACGGGAACCCTGGTGAGCCGAGCATGCGCGCGTGCCCCCCTGGCTGGGGTGCCCCCTGCCTTCTTGGGGTTCCCGGGCCCAGAGGGCCCAGCCCGGGGCGGGGGCTCCGGGGCGGAGGCGGGAGGGAGGGCGGCGGCAGAGGCGGGCGGCCGCTGGACCTGTGTCGCCCGCTGTTGTGACAGCCTGCGCCGCCTGTGCCACTACATCCTGAACCTGCGCTACTTCGAGATGTGCATCCTCATGGTCATCGCCATGAGCAGCATCGCGCTGGCCGCCGAGGACCCCGTGCAGCCCAACGCGCCAAGGAACAACGTGAGTCCCCCCGGCGCCCCCTCCCGGCCGGCTGCTCTGTCACCTCCCGCACCCGGAAAGCTCACACCGGGATACGAGGGGGTCGGGGGCAGCCCCTGGGGACAGCCCCGCGGATGCTGGCTGGGACACCCTTGGCTACAGGGTCTTCCTGGGGGCGCGGTGGCCGGCGGGGACGGGGTGGCCCAAAGCGCCTGGGACTGAAACTCGCCAGACTCCCTGACGGGGGCAGGTGGCCGGCCGGCCGGCTGCAGATGTCGCATGTGCCCGGCCAAACGAAGAGGCGGTCCCCCGGCGGCCCGGTCTCGCCGGGTAGGCTTCTGCGTTTGGACTCGAAGCCACTTTCTGACTCGGAAACGCAGCGTGAGCGTTTGGGTTTCGGGGGAGCAGCCCCCTTTGGGGTGGAGGGTCTGCTCCCAGCACCTGTCGTCGGAGCCCGGCTGTGTGTGTGCAGGGCTTGGCATGCAGTGCCTCCCTTCACCCTCACGACCCCGCCCCCCCGTGTCCCCTTCCGACAGATGGGGAAACTGAGGCTCGGGCGCGGAGTATAGGGGGTTGGTAAGTGACCTGTCCAGAGTCGCACAGCAGAATTCCAGCTCTGCGTCCCCCGACAGCTCCCCCGGCTTCCCACCGCCATCTGCACTTATTGAGCACCTACTGCGTGCCGGGGCCGTGTGTGCATTACCCCCGTAATTCCCGCCGGGCGGGAACGAGTGCGTGATCGTGGTGGAGACAGGGAAGCCGAGGGCCCAGGGCCCCCCAGCTCGCTGACTCCCTGCAGCCTGGTTTCCCCCAGAGGCCTCCAGGCGCCAGGCCTGGGGAGGCCCCGGGAGGGGTCAGGAACCCCCCCCCCCGCGACTCTGGGAGGCTGGAGGAGCAGCCTTGTCCCTGGCAGGGAGGACCGGGCAGGGGTGGCCCTCGCCTGCAGCCCCAGGGTTCCAGGGCATCGGGCAGGGCTCAGAGCAGCCACCAGGGGGCGTCTGCAAAGGGTCAGCTCCCCGGACCCGCCCTGGTCTATCCCGCAGTGGCCGCTGCTCTGCGGGGCCCTGCGTGTGGCTCTCTCTGTCACACCCCGTACCCGCCACCGCGCAGGGCAGAAAGAGAACAAAAGCTGGTGCGTGGCTCCTCAGTTTCCCCACCCACCCCCGGCCGCCTGCCTTCTGTCTGGAGCTCAGATGCTCAGCCGAGGACAGTGTCTGGAGACATTTTTGGTTGTCACGACAAGAGGGGGAAGATGCTTCTGGCATCCAGAGTGTGGGGGTCGGAGATGCCGCTCAGCACCCCGCAACGCACAGGACGCGCCCCCTAGAGAACGGTCTGGCCCCAGATGCGGGTAACGACGCCGGGCTGGAGAACCCGCCTTGGGGCTGGCCAGCGCCCCACCTTCCGGGGTGCACGCGGGGTCCCGGCTTCCCTCACGTTCCCACCCTCGCATCCCTGGTCCCGGCTGCTCGGGAGGCTGAGGCAGGAGGATCGCTTGAGCCCAGGAGTTGGAGGTTGCTGTGAGCTGGGCTGACGCCATGACACTGGGTGACAGAGCAAGACTCTTGTCTCCAAAAAAAAAAAAATGGGGTTTCCAGATCATAGAATTTGCAAGTGGTCAGCCTCGGTAAATGCCACCAGACAGTGGACTGGACAACGAGCACGGTGACGCTCGCACCGGGAGCACTTGGGGACTCGGACTGCTCCCCAGCCTTGTCGACACTTGGCGCTGTCGGCTCTTGCCCTTGGCCGGCCTGCCCGGTGCGCAGCGAGCACCCCTGGGTTTGCTTTGTGTTCGCCCGTGGCGCGTGCGGCCGAGGGCCTCTGCGGATTGGGCCGAGCGACGGGACACAGTGTCAGAGACTGCCGAGCCTCGTGCATTGGTGTCTCGGTTTGGTCGTGCAGGATTCGCCACGCTGTCTGGAATCTGGCCTGCCCGTCCCCAAACTCCGTCCCTCCCCTCCTCCCTTCCCCCTTGCATGCGCTCCTCCAGTGAGCGTTTCGTGAGCAGCTACTAGGTGCCAGGCGCGGAACTGGCTGTGGAGACTCACGGTACAAGGTGGTCCCCGCGCCCCCGCGGCCCACAGAGCTCCCGTCCTACGACCCGGCTCTGTCCCCGCCTGGCGCCACCTGGAGTCCTCTCCCGCCCCCGTCCCCTCTGCCCGCCTGGATCCCACAAGCCAAGCCCCTCGCGCCTGACCCCCTCCCTGGGAACTAACTGAGCCCGCCCCACCGGCCACTCTGGCCTCAGTTTCCCCCTCCAGCGGGAATGGGGGAATGTGCGTTGAGACCTCACAGACCACAGGGCCCAGATCCCGCGGGACCTGCTGCATGCCTGGCCCTGTATTAGGAGCTGCCGCCGTTGCCACGGCGACAGGCAGACATCGCTGTCCCCGTGGCGCTGGCATGCGCACAGGGAGGGGACGGCGAGAGTGTGGGCAGCTTTAGCAGTCCGCCGGGACAGGGCACGTGCGCGGGGCTGAGGAGGGCGGCCAGCGCAGGGAGGTAGAATCGCAGACAGGTGGCCAGGGACGGCCTCACTGGGAAAGTGATCTTGGGGCCACGTCATGAGTGGCGGGTAGAGAGGGGGCCAGATGGCATCGGGGAAGAGCACTGCAGGTAGCGGGAACAGCCTGTGCAAAGGCCCTGAGGCTGGAACGTTCCGGGAGGCGGGAGGAAGTGAGCAAGGGGGCAAGGAGGAGGAGGAGGCAAGGGCAGGGAGGTGACCAATCAGTCTGTTCAGAGCCTTGAGGGTCTCGGGGAGGACTGGGGTGACAGTGGCTTTTACCCCGAGTGACGTGGGAGCCACGGAGGGTGTGAGCAGAGGAGGGCCGTGCCTGACCCAGGTGCTCGCTGGCGCCCTCTGGTGGCCGGGCTCGGGAATCGTCAGCCCTTGTTGCTTCGCCGTGAGTCTGCGGGCCTCGGCCACCTGTTCTTACCTCGAGCGGGCACTGTGCCAGCACACCTGAGTCCACACGCCCCGGTGACACCAGAGGCGTGCCACGGCGTGGCCTGCAGAGGGGGCGGGCAGGGGACGTTGCCCGTCCTGGCGGAAAGTGGGCGCGGGTGCAGCAGTGGGGAGGGAGAGAGGCAGGATGGAGCTGCCCTGGCTAGCGGTGGCCAGGGGACAGGCCGACAGCGGCTGCACGAGGTCGGCCCTGGTGTCTCGGCAGGAGAAACCACGTGGGGCCGTTTCTTGCCCAGGAAGCCCAGCAGGGCAGAGACACTGGGGGACCAGAGCCATGACAGAGGGACTCAGTCACCCTTGAACTTCCCTGGGGCCACCTCTACCCCGATTAGAGCTTGGGGCAGATTTCCAAAGGCGCCTTTGGCGTTGGGGAGCGCACCGGCCTCATGGAGGGCTTCGTTGGCATTTGCTGCCATCTGCTGGAACGCTTCCCTCACGACACACAAGTCCGCTCTGTGCAGTGAGCTGGCAGGGCCCTCGTGCAGTGCACGCCCTGCGCAACCGTGTGCGGCGGCTTGGTTTCCTCCTCTGGGGGGAGACTCTGCTCCTTGGGGACCTTGCTGGCGGGGTGGAGGGGTCGCACGCCCCGGGTGGGCTATCGTTAGTCTTACTGGGGCTCTGCCGGAACAAGCCAGTGATACGCTGTTATGCCCCCTCGCCCCCGCAGGTGCTGCGATATTTTGACTACGTTTTCACGGGCGTCTTCACCTTTGAGATGGTGATCAAGGTGAGTGCGGAGAGAGCGGGGGCTGGGACACGCCTGGGGTGTCTGAGGCCGACACCTGAGTCAGGTGTCCACAGGCGCCCTCTGGTGGCGGCGGGGAGCACAGGCTCGGGGCAGGGGAGCCAGGGGACCTGGGAGCAGGTGACTGCCCTGTCCCCAGTGAGTGATCCGGTAGGGTGGTGGCCAAGGGGGAGGTGAGAAGTGGACAGGTTCGCTGCTGGCTCCGACGTGGAATCTGAGACGGGGGTGTCGAGGAAAACCCCAAGGTTTGGCCCCCAGAGCCGGAGAACGGGGCCGCCTGCTGTTAGGTGGGGGCGGCGGCCTCTGCCCGCTCCTCCCGGAGGCCTCGGCCTCTGCCCGTCCTGCAGGCCGGGACGGGCTCCCCTGGGCTCCCTGCCCCTCCCCCGGAGGCCAGAGGGCGAGCGGCACCAGGCGGGGGTCTGAGCGCCCCTCTCCTCCCAACAGATGATCGACCTGGGGCTCGTCCTGCACCAGGGTGCCTACTTCCGCGACCTCTGGAACATTCTGGACTTCATAGTGGTCAGTGGGGCCTTGGTGGCCTTTGCCTTCACGTAAGTCTCGAGAGGCCTCTAGCTGCCCTTGCGCCCCGCCCCAGCCTGGGGCCGCCCGCCGGGGCAGGGGCGCGTCCGGGGCGCAGCGGCGGGGGCGGGCGCGGGGCGCAGGCGGCGTCAGCATGCCACCGGGCCGCGCTGGCTTCTTGCATGCCATCGCCACGGAGGGGCAGGAGAAGGACCCCGCCTTCCGCCTCCTCCACAGCAACAGGCCTCAGCCGCGTCACCGCCCTCTTGCTGTGCCGCTTCCGTAGACTAGCCCCGCCGGACATCTCATCCCCTCCGCTCCGCGCCCCGACCGCTGTCTCTTTGGGGAGCCCCTAAAAAGACAACCGGGGAGCGAGTGTGCATGAGAACTCTCGCCCCCACACGCCCTGTGCCTGAGGCCGTCGTCGTAGACCCGGTGACTCCCCTATGTGTCTGTCACTTCTCCTGGCAGTCCAAGGGCACTCTGCCCTCTGAAAGGCCGCGCACCCCTCTCGACTCCAAGATGGCGCCCTAGTCGTGAGCAGCCATTTAAGATGGTGCCCCAGGCTGAGCAGCCATTCCCAGATGGCATTTGAATGCTGGGCATCCACTCCAAGATGGCACCCTAGGGCTTAGTAGCCTTTCCAAGATGGTATTTCAGTTCTGGGCGGCCATTCCAAGATGGCCCCCATGTTCTGGGAGGCCATTCCAAGATGGCTCCCTGGTTCTGGGTGGCCATTCCAAGATGGCTCTCTAGTTCTGGGAGGCCATTCCAAGATGGCTCCCTGGTTCTGGGTGGCCATTCCAAGATGGCCCCCATGTTCTGGGAGGCCATTCAAGATGGCCCCCGAGTTCTGGGTGGCCATTCCAAGATGGTATTTCAGTTCTGGGTGGCCATTCTAAGATGGCCCCTGAGTTCTGTGAGGCCATTCCAAGATGGCCCCCAAGTTCTGAGAGGCCATTCCAAGATGGCTCCCTAGTTCTGGGCGGCCATTCCAAGATGGCCCCTGAGTTCTGGGAGGCCATTCCAAGATGGCTCCCTAGTTCTGTGTGGCCATGCCAAGATGGCCCCTGAGTTCTGAGAGGCCATTCCAAGGTAGCTCCCTAGTTCTGGGCGGCCATTCCAAGATGACCCCCGAGTTCCGGGAAGCCATTCCAAGATGGCCCCTGAGTTCCGGGCGGCCATTCCAAGATGGCCCCCGAGTTCCGGGCGGCCATTCCAAGATGGCCCCCTAGTTCCGGGGCCATTCCAAAATGGCCCCCGAGTTCCAGGCGGCCATTCCAAGATGGCCCCCAAGTTCCGGGCGCATTTCAAGATAGCCCCCTTGGGCTAAGTAGCCGTTAGCCCTTAGATCCCCGACGGCAAGCTGGGCAGTACGCTCCTCAAGTCGTAGACGTTTGGAACAGGAGGAGAGTCCCTGACAAGCGCCTACTCCAGAGACAAGTCTTGGGGACCCTGCCTGTGCCTGTCGTGTGGACCGTCCCCGGGCGGAAGGTTCTGGAGGGATCCCGGCCGCCTCACGCCCACAGTGAGGAACCGGGCGGCTTCCGCTCCGGGCGTCCCTCCCAGCCGACCCGGAGGGGCCCTGGGCGGCGGCCCGACCGAGGAGGAACGAGGGGCGGTGCGTCAGGGGCGGAGCGGGCCGGTTCCAGCCCAAGGGCTAGAGTAGGCCGCGCCAGGCCCGGCCGGGGCTCAGCGAGGCCGCCTGTGTCAGAGCAGGAACAAGACGTCCCCAGAGTTCCCGTCCTGTGTCAGGAAGGGCGCGAGGCTGATCGCGCTTCTTTCTCACCCTCCTCTCTCTTTTCGTGCCCTGTCTCGTTTTCTTCCTCTTTCCCCTCCTCTCCCTCCCCACTCCCTTCCCTCTCCTTAAAGCATTCGAGTGTTTATTTGGCCACTAGAGCAACGAAACAGATTGTTAAAAACAAAACAAAAAACAGTGAATCAGCTATTTAGAGTGTCATACTTTATGTGGCTAGTATAGAATGTGAGTAATTGTAAGGAAGTGATAAATGCAAAAAAAAAATCAGGTGTGGCTACATTGTCATTAAGATGCTCTACAAGTTAAAAATTAAACAGTGCTCGGTGTGCTAAAATTGGAAGGATGCAGAGAGGATTAGCATGGCCCTGGGCAAGGATGACACGCAAATTCGCGAAGCGTCCCATATTTTATAAATAAATAATAAATAAAAAGGCCGGGCGCGGTGGCTCACGCCTGTCATCCCAGCACTCTGGGAGGCCGAGGCGGGAGGATCGCTTGAGCTCAGGAGTTCAAGACCAGCCTGAGCAAGAGCGAGACCCTGTCTCTACTAAAAATAGAAAAATTAGCCAGGAGTGGTGGTGCGCACCCACAAGGAGGATTGCTTGAGCCCAGTACTTCGGGACTAGCCTGGGCAACATAGCAAGACCCTGTCTTGAAAAGAATTTTTATTCTAAAAAGCCAAAACATTTTACCACCCTCAGCCTGGAGCGAATCTGTCTCCTACGGAAATAATCTGAGTATCTCTCCACCCCCCTCTGTCTCTGTCTCTCAGCCCGTTTTCCTCTCTTCCCTCTCTCTGCTTCCTTCTCTCTCTCTCTCTCTCTGTCTCAGGGTAATGTGACCCACATGCGCTCTGTGGCTTGAAGAAGGCCACCACTCTGCCATCAGTCTGGCATCAGGGGACCTGGTTCCCCCGTGTTCTGGCCCGGGGTGGTCGTGAGATGCAGGCACAGCCGGGGACAGAGGGGGGCGAGCCCAGGCAGGCACCCCTCCCCCCTTCCCCAGGCCAGCCAGGGCCGGGCCTGTCCACACACGGGCGCCCTTTGCCCGCTGTGCCCTGGCTGGTGGGTCTGGCCTTCCATCGGTCCTCCCAGCGGCCAACCTGGGTGTGACGCAGCATAAGTCGTCCTCGGTTCCTTTTTGCTCCCAGGCCTCTGTCGGAGGTGACACCCTTTAACGGGGCAGGTGCCTCTGCCGCCGCCCTGCCCACCGCCATCCCCCAAGTTGATCTCGCAATTTAGGGACAGGGTGACCTTCAAAGGACCCGGGAACAAAGCCTTTCAGCCCTTGAGCTTTTGCCCTGATGAGCCGTCTCCTCGTTCACAACGCACCCTGTTTCTAGATTCTCTGCAGCACAGTCGGCTCCTCTTTAAGCAAATCGAATCCATAGAAACAAAAACCCCCAATTTTTTTTTTTTTTCACCAGAGATCAATGAGCGGCGTGATTCTTTGTGTTACGAAAGAATCCGCCACGGGGAGCTGATTTAGGCTCTGGAGTTTGGAGTTTTCTTTTTAAATTTCGAGTTATACAAGGGCATCAAAATTAGCCCACAACTCGCAGGAATTCGGCAGCCTGTTTGGTGAGTCAGGCTTCTAAACTGTCCTCATGAAGTCAGTGCGGCCATGAAGCCACCCTGCGGCCTTGACGCTCTCTGCTTGAGATGCTTTGGGTTTTTGTTTTTGTTTTTTAAATTTCTATGCAAAGTAAGGGTCAGGAGAGAAATTTCATCAACCGGGCAAGCTCGTAGATCTCGCGGGAATTGGGAGGTGTGGGATTTTGCCAGTGGGATGCTTGCAAGGGCCAGGGGCTCTTCTGGGGTTTGGGAAGAGCTGATGGCCACAGGTCCAATAGCAAGAGCCTTTATATCACGGGCAAAAGGGTGGGAGAGGAAACCCTGAGACCCCACCCCTACCACGCCCTCCCACCCCACTGCTACGATGGCACTGCTACTTCTCTACCAGGGCAGGGCTACAGGCCCAGCACGGCTGGCTAGGCACCTTGATCAAGCCATTCCTGCATACCCAACAGGCAAATTGCCAGAAAGCAAGAGAAGGAAAAGCCTTTTTTCCCAAGAAAAGTTTCAGAACCCTTCCCCTAGCTGCAGGTTTCTGGCCTCTTTTGCCTGAGAAGGTCTCTCGCCCCATGAAGACTTTGCTTATTGTCCTTCTTTGTTATGACATGGATGTCACACTGGAGGGAGTTGGGGGCTCACTGAGGGTCTCAGCCTGCGTGCTGAACTCCCCGGGTCCTTTGCTCCTTTCCTCTCTGGTCTTTTTACTTCTTTTGTCCGTCCCGTGTGCCCATCTCCTCACAGACAAGGCTGAGAACCCCAGCGGGTGTCAGGTGAACCTTACTGGTGTAGGAGAAGGTCCCCCCAAGTCTGTCTGGTTTCTCTGTAGTTGTGCAAGTCCCTTAGCCTCTCTGTGCCTCAGTTTCCCCCATAAACTCAGCTTGGTAGTGATCATAGTTAACAGCCTCCATTTATTGAATCCTAGCACCACATCAGGGTGGTGCAGTTCTTATTCCCATTTTGTAGGTGGGGAAACTGAGGCCCAGAGGGATTGTGGAGGGAAGCTCGTCCAGCAGAATCATTAAGGTTGGGTTCAGTCGGCAGAGTGAACTTGGCAGCCCAGCCAGCCTGGGCTCTTCAAGGCCAGGCCAGGGAGATGCAGGGCAAGGGGGCAAAGGCTTGTTCCCTTCCTTGTTGAAAGGGATCTTGCTGTTCTGGCCTTCTGGGGTCGAGGCAAGAATTCTCCCTCGTGTTGTGACTCTGGGCCCGTCTCTGATATGGAAAAACTATCCCTGTGGTTCCCCCAAGGGATGTATGGAAGCTCCCCACAGGCGTTCACCCCTCCTGCACCTCGCCCACTTATCTGTGTGTGTGTGTGTGTGTCCTCCACCCACTGACTGTGTCCCATGTCCCTGTGATCACCATTAACGCACCATTTCATGAGCCGTCACACGTGGTATCATGCTCTGTGCCCATGCGTTGGAGCAGCCATCTGACATTTCTCAGCAGCTGGCGGATCACGATCCTGCCCTCACTGCCAAGAGTCCATCTGGTGCGCTGCTCCCCCCCACCAGGCCAGGACCGCAGGCCGGCGCAGCCGGCAGAGCGCCTTGATCAAGCCGCTCCTGCATACCCAGGAGCCAAATGTCAGGAAGCCAAGGAAGGAACTGTTGTTTAATCCCCATCTTCAAAACAGCCACAGCCTACCCCGAGAGGGAATTATTTTTCTTATGTGTGATGAAATGGAAAGAAGATTAGAGTG